AGAGAATGCCTTTAGTATTCACCGGGCTCAATTCTCGAAGACGGCCGCCCCAGAATCTACTGCGACCAATCCAATATCACGGACAGGACCATTCTTGCGAAATAGCCTGATATCGTGATATTGGATTGATCGCTGTCGTTGGTATTTCTTGTGAACGTTACCATAACGCATGACGAGGGTCTCATGAAATCCTGATCTGGCGCACGAAATTAACGACATGTGGTCTCCACTGAAATAATCCCAATTGTTTTGTCCGCAAATGGGTTAATTCCAGTCAACCTTGCTAGCTTGAGGCGGTTGGATTTCTGTGGCGTGGCGCTACCAGCACAAATTCAGATTGCGGTCCTGCTCGATAAGGCACGTATTATTCGCCGGTTCTTGAACCTGTCACAGACTGTGCCATTGCCGGGGAATAAAAAATCAAAATTAATATGTTCAATAATAAATATATAATTATAATAATAACGCACACACTCATATGCACTAGAGAAACCCTGTGTCGCAGATGGCATGGACACACACGTAGAAAACAACAAATTACACCCAGCTCCTAGGTACGTCTGCATGTCAGAGAAACATAGTAACCGTTCGGGCATGGAGGTAGTGACACACAATGGGGAGGTAAGTATTTATAATAAACACGAATTATATACACCTAAATATACAAATTTCTCCAATTTAAATATACCTGATGTAATTGAAAATCATCTTGAAGAATAACTTTCTCTGGACAACTTCCTGGTAGAGTAAAATATCCATGAACTCTATTAGTACAAAATAGTAAAACGACAAACTTAAGCATTATGTTATTTAACAAAACGTGTGTGCACTTTCACATATGTAAAGTTATATGAGAAATAAAATCATGTTTATGAAATTATAAAATACACCACAAGAATAATGGACGATTTAAAATATCACAATTCATATTGTATGACCAATGGTCAGAAAAAGGTATTCCACATATAAAGATACATGTATAGACATAGCTACAAGGAGCGACATAGAGTTGCTAAAACCACTAAATATAAATGAAATATTTTTGAATTCCAGATTTCCGGAAATGGTTTTATTGCATCGTAGGACAAACTACTGACCTAGGAAGTCGAAGTCCGATTTTAAAATAATTCTGATAGTGCCATGTAAAAAACGCAATAGATAACTGACAGGCTTGGTGCCGTTCCGTCAATGTGACCGTCAATATGCGGAGCGCAGTGTGGTATCTAAAGCCACCGAGTGGCGGTGTGTGACCATTCTCGTTAATTTTTTATTCTCTGCTTTTGTAAAAGTTATCTACTGCATTTCTTTACATGGCATCATTAGAATCATCGTAAAATCCAAATTCGACTTCCTAAGTCAGTAGTTTTGTCTCAATATGCAGTAAAAGCATTTCCGCAAATCCGGAATTCGAAAAGTGATTAATTAATATTTATTAGTTTTAACAACTCTATGTGGCTCCTTGTAGCTATATCTACACATGTATCTACGTATGTTGAACACCTTTTTCCGACCATTGACAATGACTAATAGAAATCAAAACAATAACGTGAATTGCAATAACAAAGCTACAAATCTTACTGCAAACACCTTAAGTTATGTGAAATAAAGAAAACAATATTCTTAAACGTAAATAGGCAGTTAGACTAATGTATAAAATATCTTCTCAGCTATTCAAAACATAAGGAAGAATTGATTGTCAATAAGTGATATATAGATAATTATTATTATTCAAACCACCATAAACAAAAATATTTTCCTTAAACAATAACTGGTTCACACAGGAAAGGGAATTCCAAGAAAATAACATCAAATGTTCTTAAGTTATACACTTCTTTTTATTTGTTATAGATAGTGCTTGTTCCAATTAGCTGATTATGTCTTAACATTATTCTGAGCTTCACAAATTGGATATTGGATCGTCTTATTGTAAGTGTCGTAAAATTAATTATTTAAATATTACTTATTAAGGTAATGGTTTGACCAAAAAGTGAGAAGTAAACACTCCAGGTTGGATATCCAACGCATCTTTTTCACAAACATTCTCTTACCACATCTCACGTCATTTGAAGTAGTACATTGTATGCCATATTTGTATGCCAAATTAAAATGGGCTACTTATGCTTATAATTCACGCAGGGTAGATAGTTTTTTGTTGGTGACACCATTCCACAAGACAAGAGCTTTTGAGGGTAGCTTCCGGTATCAGGCATCTAAATGCTGGAACAATTTGCCTCCTCCACTTAGACAACCAATCTCTAAATCGGTATTCAAAACACAACTGAAAATTATGTTATTGGAAAGGAGGGTATCATCTGATGTCAGAAGTTTCTTAGTCTAGCCAGCTTGTTATATTTATGTGCACTAACATACCAATGTAATGCTTAAAGTTGTATATTTCTATTTACATGAATACGCTGTTGTAGGTCCGTGTTTCTTTAGTAGTAAATACTTATTGACAGATTTAAAATATTAATTGTTATATAATACTAAAGGTTTAAGGTTTTCGTATTGAAAATAATTAAGAATATATATGTCACAACAGAGGATACACACAACATAATAATATGTACCGCTCTCTCAACATCCAGTCGATGATGCAACAGGAACGACTGAAAATCAGCGTCTCTCTCGCCAGAGATAGACTTTTTGCTGAGTCGTCTCCTTTTCCTCTTTTGTGTCACTTTGCATTCTTATTTATAGATTATTTAATAAATAGCTATCAATTTAATGTTATGTTTATAATTTAGGGATGTAAAGTGACTTAAATGTGCGAATAAACGTTTTTCTTTCTTTCTTTCTTTCTTTACATTGTACCGCAAATGAGGTACTCTCTCAAGCTCATTTTAACTTCATGTTTTACCCAACACTAATTCCACAGACTTTTCGAGCTCCGGGTTTGTTTAAAAAACCAAACGCTTATTTTTTTGCGATTTGACAGGAGCCTCATAATATAAAAGGTGTGGCTTCAAGTCATTATGTTTTTTTTTCATACAAACCGGTAAATTTATTTAATTGTCCTCTCGGGTGAGACACTAAAAAAATATTATTAATATTATTAATATGGTCAAAGCGCTGCTGATAGTGTTAACTGGCCTTTTCAGCCAGGTCACTTTCAGTTAATTAAAATCAGGATGACGCAATTTAAACTAGGTACTTTATGCAAAGCGCAAGTGGTTTGACATATACGATACGATGATATTTCCTTTAAATTATCGTTATCGTAATGATAATGATTTCCACAGAATTACTGTTATCACTGCAATAATGATTGTCACTAAATGCTTTCTGATCCTCTCTTCAACAATTTTCTTTAATGAAGAATCGTCCTGACGAAGCCTTATCTCAAACAGATTAATGAACTTATATTAAATCTGATTAAAATTGAGGACATCCTAAAGAAGGGTCAGATCGGGTGTACCGTTAACCGATGAGCGTGTTTGAAAGCAATGCGTGTGAAAGAAATGCGTGGTGATGACGCGTTCTTAGCAAGAGGAAGGATATTAAAAAGAAATGTTTGTAATGTTGTTGAATTAAAGTTCAAAATAATTGTTCCGGTAGAGATTTTGCTAAATAGAATCGCGGCATAGAGAGTAAGAGTGAGTTCTTGCTGTTCAAAGGTAAGATTAAAGAACCAGGCTACGTAGCACCAATACTCTTGAACGGGGTACCTTGAGGTGTGTTGCACAGTTTAGGTGCTTGACAGAGGACCTAAATGGTGAGGAGGATATAGAGAGTGCAGGGCACTGTCGGTTCGAGGTGATATGTTGGCTCATAGATTCACGTGGTGCACAAACAGGTGTGAAGCTTACGCTCTTCAGAGCATAATGCCAAATCTTCTACATGTGTGCTCTATGGTCCAACTTTACACGGAGATCATACGGTGACTAGCGACACCACTTCATTAGTTCGAAGAATGAGGGATAGCAGCAACGAGAGCCTGAAGATGATAGCGGATAGGATGGATGCAGCTGTATTCCCGAGGTTCACTGAGTTGCACGTTCTACGTGTGAGGCAGTGAGACGCCTGGCTGTGTTCGACCTGTTTTTTTTTAAGTTATTAGATGAACACAACAGTCGACGTACAAAATAGATTAACACATTAATTTGTTTTGAACCAGAATGCCAACCAAGAGCGTATGCGTATGGCATTTTCAGGAAAGTTACTGTCTATTAATCATAAATTGCAAATTTTATGTTGGTACAAATATATAAAACAAACTACAAAAGAGAAGGAAAAAAGTGTTAAAATGAAATTATTATTATTTTAATTTTTATACTTTAACTGGACTACTTGAGGACATCCGAGATGTAATTTTATATATATATAAATTACTTAAACAACGTGTCAAGGATCACTTCCTCAACTCCTAAATTTCGTCTGTCCTCTACTATCCTTTCATTTATTTCCTACATTTGTACTTCAGTTTTCTTTTTCTATTAAAAGTATACAAGTATTTAATATTATTGTGTATTTATTGTTATGTATGTATTAATAATATTATTGTTATTTGTATGACTTTGTATATGTATATCTATCTATGGATATGTATATATTTTTATTATTACTTATTATGTAGTGTACTTATGATGATATTCTTTGGTTTTGATATTGCATATCCGATATGTCTATCCTAAGGTTGCCTGGAAGAAATTGCTACATAGCAATAAGGCCGCTTGTTGCACATTGACTTACTACTAGTATTATACTTAAGCTATTGTATTGTATTTTAATTCTAATTTTATGTGCAATAAATAATATTTCATTCATTCATTCATTCATTCATTCATTCATTCATTCATTCATTCATTCATACAGACTTGTTCTAAGCCTAATACTAACATAGTTATAAAGTGTGTCATGTTAATAACTTGTATAGACTTGTATTTGTTGTCAGAAAATAATTTATTTTTATTATTTACATCTTATAGGATAATAAAAATATCATCTGTCTTTTTTCAGAGCTCACTCACATTTATAAATATATAGATAAATTTCCAACTATGATCTTGGTAATACTGTCTTGCATTATCGCTAATGCTATAGGAGCTGACTATACTTTGCCTGGACTATGTCCAAAAGTGAAAGCTTTTGAAAATATAGATTTTATGAAGGTGAGTGTCCTTTTTCGTAAAGATACAAAAAAGAAATACTTACAAACCAAGGGTTTAATTTTTAGCCTATGAATTGATCATAATTTTTAATAAACGGCGGCGACGTAGAAACAGATCAGAAATGGCGTTAGTTCCCTAGATATAAATGTTGCATGTTGAGGTTTATATGGTTAAATAACAGTCCCAGTTTAATACGTTATGTGTATCAGAAAACAAGTAAATTATAATATATAAGCTTTCAAAAAAGACTTTTTTACGAGCTGCAGCTATCATAGATAAGAAGAAATCACCGACAAATAGTTACAGTAAAGAAACCCATGCACGAGGGTCGGGGTGCTACCAAGGCATTGTTAACAAGTCTATGACTATAACAATAAGGTATCAGCTATGAAGAAATAATAAAAAGTGATCTTTGTCAGTTTACAGGTATTTGGTACACTGCTGCCGTCTTTGTCAGTGATGGTCGTCTCACATATGATTGCTCGATCTTAGACTTTCAAGAGGACAACCTGGGTTATACTTTGAGAGAAACTTTTGTGGATATAGACTATGGCGATCGTATTCAAAAATCTTATTTTGCTAGGATCGATAGCACTAAAAATACTGCAGTTAAAGAAGCGAGATACATTATTAGCCACACAGAGAACGGTAAACCTAATAATATTTCCATCTAAACTCTTTTCAAGCTACTTCTTGAGGTCCTCGCTGCTGAAAAACCGAATATTCGCTTATCGTTCGCTAAAACCTCTTTCAATTTGTTTGAATTAAAAACGGACGCTGGTAGTTTGAAAGGCGTAGAGTCCAAATATCAACCCTTACTTTATTCACAATTGTAGTGTATAACTTTTTTATTATTTTGCTTTATTCTGTCCACGGGAAATTGCCTAATGTGTAAAATAGAAAATGATTAGGAAAGTGATTGCTCAGCTGTTAATTTACTTAAGGAGATGCCTGAGTATATTAATTACCATGCAAGCGTACGTGTTAAGCGAAATAATTTTCCCGAAAGTTTCATGATGAAAAAAATTACGAACGTTTTTGATATCGCCTGCAGATAAGGAAAATGCCTTATGAATAAATTAAAAATTAGTAAATCAATCCATGAGTGTCTGCCCGAGGATATTAACTATCATGCAAACTTACCTGACAAGCGTAATAATAATCTCAAGGATTTATTGGAAAAAACTCCACATCCATATCATACATATATACCCTGGCTTCTAGCATTAAACTGTATGGTAGTGAGTTGACTAGAGTGACACAGTTTCGGTACTTGGGTCACATAGTAAATACTGCAGCTTAGGTGATTAATTGTGACAGACACTACAGTGCGTCTGGTATGTTTGCGGACGCACGCACTGACTGTTTTTATGAATTAGTGCGTAAAAAAATTGTGTCAGTGGGACGCAGAAAGCTGGAAAGCCCTAACAGCATATTGAGGACAGTATCTGAGAGACTGGACAGTGCTTTACAAAGGCATTAGTTGTCGGCTGTGATAAATCCTCACGCTGAAAGTTTTTTTATTTTTTTAATTAATTATTTGTGTGTCTTTTATTGTTACTGTCCTATATAATGTGTGTGATTAATATTGTTCCTATTATAGATTTAATTTCTTCTTTATTTTAATTACCTACAAACAGATATGACTCTTTGTGGTCTGAATAAATAAGATTTGAATTTGAATATAGTATGTCGCCAAATTCTACATTTGGTATTTTTCACCTCTGAACAAATATAGGATGAGATAGATGGTGCTAACTTAGCACGTCAAGTGATACAAAATAACGTCCAATTCAAGATCAATTAGATCGAACCAAATCCTTAAATCTTACATCGTCTAACTATATTAAAACACGAAATTTGTTAAATTATGACTGTGGTTATGTTGGAAATTCATCAACAATATTTTAAATGTTAAAATTGATTTTGATCCTTACCGTTAAAGAATGAATTTGTTTTCCATTGCCAACATAAAGATTAACGTAAATAGTCAATACTAGTGCTAATAAATATATAAATATGTCAGACTTTTGGGGTGCACGAAAAGCGCCTCTCCGACATACCTATTCCTTTGCTGTACCTCTGGCGTTTGACAAATCCTTTCACCATGGTTGATCGATAAGACAAGAAGATGGTTTTTGTCAGCATTTAATTATTATGCATTTCAGACAAAGTGCTGCATTTCCCGTTTGCCATCCTTTCAACGGACTACAATAGCTACGCCCTTGTATACACATGCAGAGCTATGAAGAAGAAGAAAGAAAAAAATCATTACAGTAAGATTTTGTATTCGTCTATTTAAGAATGCTTTTGTTGTAAGCTCTTTCATAGGGCCTTCCTGTAATCCTACATACGTTTTCATTTGGTCTGTAATCTACCTTGTTTTCTTTTGATCTTTCCTATTATGGTGTTTTTTACCCGAACATCTCAATCGGCTGGTGTATGTGCGCCTTAAAGGTTTAATGTCTTCCTTTGGATGATTTCGTTACTTTTAGTGATATATCTATTTTGTTATTGTTTCATGTCAAAGTAACTTGCTAAAATATCTATAACTGTGCAATTATATTTCATTTGATCTTCCTTACTCATTGTTACAACTCGGCCCGTAGTTATACAATCGTGTACGTTATTTAAAGTAGTCTTTGCCTCATGTACTAACATCTTACTAAATGTTCACGAAAAACATACATACACTTCACGCCCTTTTTCTATCGGGGTAGGCGTAGGCCGCAGTCTTCTACGTACTACGTTCCGGACACACATATTTCGCTTCATCAACGCATTTATCACGCTCGTCGGTCAAAGGTACTCTTAACCTCGTCTTTCTTAAGAACATCCTCAATTTAGTCGTGGTAAATTTGCCTTAGTCGGCTCTTACCAACTTATCTGCCCACACTCGCCTTTCTTTTTATTGAAGTTTCTTTCATTCATCTTCTTTACATGTCCGGATTATCCAAATATCTTTTTATCATGAGTAAACGCGTAAAATTTTATCAAGAAATCAATAAAATGAATTGATAATAAGATTACAATAAAGGAAGCTCTCAGAAGAAAGTAAAAGAACTCTAATTGCCTCTCCATTGAGATATTCGGTATTTGGCGGAATAGCAAAAAATAGGCCGAATAAGCCGAATACCGAATAGTAACCGAATATTCGTTATATATAATAAAAAGCCGTGGTAGCTTAATTGTTTATTATATAATTGTGGGTTCGGATCCAGTCTCGCACTTCTGAGTTTTCAGAATTTATGTGCAAAATATTATTTTGAAATTTACCATGAGCTTTTCGGTCAAGGAAAACATCGTGGTGAAACCTGCGCATCGAAGAGGGTTCACAACCCTCGGAAAACGTGTGATGTCCCCAACCCGCTTTCGGCCAGCGCGCCTAAACTCTCAGGCCTAAAACCTCGTGTGACGTGTAAATGGATGACGAATATACATAATTATTGTAATAATCTCATTCCTACCAATTACGGCTTCCATTGCTCAGCCAATCTTTACCAGTACCATGAGGTATAGTGTTGACAACAGTCACTGTACATTCCGGCTGTAAGTACTATTTGTGTTTGTTAAGAGGGAGCATGCCAAAAAAGTTTTGAAAGTTTGGCTCCGCCCACATTTGTGAGACAAATATATGCCTGAAGTTCGCGTGACATGCGACAGGAGATGTTGAATTTTGCGCATTAAAAGTATCAAATTCGTTTTAGCGGAATAACTCTAAAACTAAAGGGACTTAAAAAAAATCAGTAGTGACAGTTCTCGATCATGCATAAATATAATTAATTATCTAATTTTTGTCCTAATAACCTATTTCGAGCATTTCGAGGATGAATCGAAAAAAATGTGAAAATTAGAGGTCATTTCCTGATTTTTATCTATCGAGGAAACTTTATTGTTTTATGTTTCTAATTAGCGTCTATGCTTGAATATATCGTGTAGTTACTCATACAATATTTTATTTTTAACTTTAAAGTGGATATACCCCTCTAAAATCAAATTGAAGATTAGGAATTTTTCCTCTGCTCCCTCTTAACAAGCAACTAGGGGCACCCAACGCATTATTTGCATTTTTGTCTGTTGCGGCTTTGTTCGATACGGAGTCAATTTAAATATCGGTTTTATTATATTTTTTTGTTTTTATTTCAGTATACGCCTCTGTTCTCTCCCGGTCTAAACAAACATTTGATCAAAATAAGGTCGAAAATATCGTAGCTGAATTCACGGAGTTATCGGAAAACTTGTTTATCCTAAAGGACTTTGCTGACAAAACTTGCAGTTATAATGTTAAAAAACCTGTTGAAACATTCACTGATAATTTTTGGTAATTAAATATCCTATGTTTTCATAATAAAAGTAAAGACAATATATAAATTATACATAGTAAGTACAATATAGAAACTAAGCAGAAATAGTTTATTAACACCTTGTAGGTTCAAATTAACATGTACCTTTGGAATTTCTTAGAGGAATTATTATCCTCATGCTCTTCAATCCTACCGCATGGTTCGTTACGTGAACAATACTTGTTAATAATAATATATTTTAATATGTGTCAGACAACCACACATACTATTAGAACAACGGAATTCATTCTGGGACACTTCCCGCTTGCACTACGCTTCGTACATCCTAGCGTTATTCTACGAAATACATCCTACAATTGTGCACCGGTTTCACCGGCGCTTCGACTGTCGGCCAGTGTGAGTTGAGCCATAGGCTCCACAAATTAGCTCAAAAGCCAAAAAGTTGTATTATAGTAGTTACAGGCACTTATATCGAATTCTTAGAGCCTACGCACACGTCGCAGACACACCGTAATGACGCGTACGTATCGCGCATTTTGATAAAAGATACTTTTCATTTTAGTTAATTTCAGTTAGTTTAGGGGACGAAACTATTTTTCCGGATTGAAATCGCGTATATTTGTTTTTTCGAACAAACCAAAATTTCGGGCCCTTTACAGGTCCCATGGTCACGGTTGACCGCGCGATTGAAATCCGGAAAAATAGTTTCATTTCCTATGTGTCGCGAAAACTTAAGAACTTCAGTTAGTTTTTTGAAATGAAGTAATTACATGAAATTTTAAATGTAAACTCCACTGGAGTATATAAGCTTCTTGCTTGCAACGCGATGTAAATGAGGATTACGCCGTGTGCTCGTGGGCTCTTAGGGTTTCCCCATTGTTACACATAGGAAATGAAACTTTTTTTTCGGATCTATTTCGTGTACGTTTGTTTTTTCAAACAAACCAACCAGGTCCCTACGTTGATTTGTTTGATTGATAAGAACGACCGGCGCAATGGCAGTTCCCTTCTATCTTTGCATTTTAAAACTTCAAGTGCACTGCAACTGTTATGGATAGGCGTGTCCTTTACCACCCGACGCCAGATTTTTATGTACAATAAAAAATATTATTATTATTATTTCTTTTTCTTCAAACTCAAATCTAATCGTATCGGGAAGAAACAGGAAACATTTGTACCGGAAAAATAACTATGACATATTAAGACTACGGTATATTGATTCAATCTTTTACTACGCGATAATGTTGATGATGTGCCAGATAACTACATCAACTCCCTGAAATTGCCGGTACTATTAGTACCAGAGCAGCGGAATTCACTCTGGGGCACTTCCCAGACCAGAACCAATTTAGAAAAGTCTATTTCCCAAATTGATCCTACCGGGAAACGAATCCAGGACCTCCTCATCCAGTGGCCTTAGCGCAAACCGTTGAGCCATCGAGATAATCTAATATTGTTAACAAAAAGTTCTCTTTTCGACCTCTATTATTGTCATTTGATGGTACTATAGCATGGGAACGTAGCTTGGGCTTGCGTAGCGAAAGGGACTTTATAAATATAAACGACTCGACGATAATTATAACTTTACACGTGTATTCAATTTCAAAGCTTTTATCAGAACTCCTGTTGATGTTTGATATCAACACTCTATTATTTTTACAATTCCAAATACAAAACCTAAGCTGTCTATACTACATCCCTCTTCCTCACAACTGAAGGGGTAAACATGATCAGCCTTTATTATAGGCTAGCCACATACTGCTCCATATGAAAAACAAACACAAAAGATTAACAAACATTTAATACTTCTGATTTAACTGTTCTGACCGTGTACTTCCTATCTGATCTTTGTGCGAACCAATCAAGACTACCCGTTTCCAAAAATTGTCCCGTATATTTTCCGCAACTTTTTTTTCTGCACTTACGTCAACTTTTTTTCTTTATTACTGATAACCGAGCAGAAAGTATATATTCCGAGTTCTTTACCGCCATGTTATCAGAACTCTTTGATGCCCGATAGACAACTTTTCTTTCTTTGACCCGATATCTGTCATGGACTTAAAAGAAACTTTATTTGTCAATTTTCAATTTTGACAACTTGAAATTATAATCCTTTAAAATATCCTGGCCGAGGATAAGAAATTCCTCATTACCTTGCTCAACAAGCAACCTCGATAGGTATTTATTCCGATTGTTGGAAGTCCTATAAGTTTGTGGAAAGAAAATTAGACACTATGTAACTGAAATTGTATCAATTTATTTTTTTCGACATCTTTCTTTGAATACAAATACGCAACTGACGAAACCGTAAATTCAACATGACACGAGCTTGCGTTATATAGATATATACAAACTCTAATATCCCTCTTCATTTTCAAGTTTGCCAACAACTTTAAAATTGTTACAAATAAAACTTGGTGCCTACCTGGTGTGACATTTGAAAAATAAATAAACAATATGACGTTTCGTTAAAACTTATAAAATGTTCACACAACACAACTTATCTTTAATATAATTAAATTTCAGTCTGTATAAAGCTTTTGTAAATATGTCTGCTATATTTTCTTTAGTCGCCACATATTTGACACTCAACAAGTTCTTGTCCACAATGTCTTTAATGAAATGCACCTTTATGTCTATATGCTTCGACGTCTTGGTATTTTCATAGTTATGTATCATCTTAATTGCGCTGGTATTATCGCAATATAGGACTGTCTTAAATTTAACTGTATCACTGAACTCTTCATTAAGTCCTTTTAGAAGTAATAATTCGGAAGCACATGTGGCCGCAGCTATGTATTCAGCTTCGGCAATAGACAGGGCTACGATTTGTTGTTTCTTAGACGCCCAAGAAATTAGGTTTGAACCATGATAAATAGCCATACCCCTAATACTTTTTCTGTCTTTATCTCCGGCCCAGTCTGCGTCTGAAAAGCTGATAATAGCGTTACGTGACTGTTGCCTATACATTAAAACTAAAGTTGAAGTTTTCTTCAGGTGTCTTAAAATTCTTATAGCGGCCTTCCATACTTTTTCCGTAGGTTTATCTAGTATTTGCTCAAAAAAGATGTTGCATAACAAATATCAGGTCTGATAACCATGCTTAAATAATTCAGACACCCAATTAGTTCTCTGTATGGAACATTCTTTAATATCTCCTCCGATATATCGCTACCTTGAAAATTGTTCTCCATTGGTGTTTCACTTGTTTTGCAGTCAACCATTTTGTAAAATTTTATGAATAAATATTGTTTGTGACATATAATAACGTGTTTTCATTTCGTGTAATATCAATACCCAGATAGCTGGTAAGTTTTCCCATATCTTTAGCTTTAAATTCATCTCGTAATAATTTCACTTTGTTTTCTATTTTCATTCAATCTCCGGTCAACAAAATGTCATCCACAAACACAACTAACCAAATGTTATCTCCTGAGTATAAACAAACATCACGCTTTGATATCTTCATTTCTATTTTCTCGCAAAATTTGTTAAATTTTTCGTTCCATCGTTTTGGCGATTCTTTTAATCCACAGAGAGCTTTTTGAAGCATTAGCATTTTATTATTAGTTGTTTCACCGTATCCTCAATGTCTGCTGCAGCATGACTTTCGCCTTCTGGTTCGTTTTCTTCTTCTTTTGATATACGTTTGTATTTACATTTGTTTTATTTACGATTATGTCGTTATCATTATAAACATGATTAATTGCTTTCATTAAACTTGACATCTCTCGAAATTATATTATATTATCTCGCGTCTTTGGATCCCAAAGTCTATAACCATTGCCTCCATAGCCTGCTGACTTCTCCTCTGAATTCTGACATCTTTGGCTCTTGGCTCTAATTTGCCTTGCTTGGGCAATATTACACTCCACGCCTTACTTCCTAATGTGACCAAATTGTTAATATTCTTTATTCTATACATTACATTTGCCGGTATGTTACCTCTTAGTGCGTTAGTTGGCGATCTATTTAGCTGATACGTAGCACAACATAAAGCTTCTTCCCATGAATATTTCGGTATCGGATCCATTCGCGTTTTGTTCATTCTATCTTCAGTAACATGTGCATTGAAATTTCTTTTCTTTAATCTTCTGTAATTACCTCGTCTATAGTTTCTTCCTCTTCTTCCTCTAAATGATCCTCTCTGTGGGTTGTTCTTCGGACAGTCTCGAGTATAGTGATTTTGTTGCCCACAAGAATAACATTTAAAGTTGGTACTAGTAAAGCTGTACTCGTAACTGCTACTTACTGGTGCTGTATCTTCGTGGCGGTATTTTCATTGTGCGTCTAACAACTTACTCTTAACATAATCTGTTGTTAGTTCTAAATTAGTGGCTTCTAATGCAGTTATAATAGGAGCATACGATTCTGGCATTGTTAACAGAAGATGGCATACTTTGTCTTGCTCTTGTAATTTTGAACCTGTTTCTTCTAATTCTCTGACAAGGCTATCAAATTTGTTAAAATATTCGGTCAGCTCTTCACTTTCTGTACATTTAAGGGTCAGTAATTTCTTGCGTAAGCGATTGCGGATAGTACGCTTTTTTGCTCATAAATTTTCTGCAAATTGTCGATCATTTCTTTAGCTGTTTTTGCATTACGTACATATTCAATGTATTTATCTGTAAGGCATTGTACAATAATATTCTTGACTTTGATATCTTTGAGAAAAAAATCGTTCTTTTGTTTTTCATCCATTTTGTCTTGTGACGACTTTTCTAAAACTTCTTTGCATTGCTTTTCTTCTAGAATGCATGATAATCTAAATAGCCAAGTCGACCAATTCGTTCCTGTAAACTGTAAGGATGTTGCTGTGATCCCTGACCCTGATCCTGATCTGATAGTGCCATTTTTTCTTCTTCCCTTGTTATTGTTTTTACCTGCTCATAATTTGTTTTACATTTCGAGTTCTTAAGTTTTCGCGATTGTTACACATAGGAAATGATACTGTTGTTTTACATTGTTTTTTTACTACTTTCTATTCTTTGCCAATCTGGCTGAGTGGGTTCTCTGGGCCCATAACCTGTTGGAAGTCCTATAAGTTTGTGGAAAGAAAATTAGGCACTATGTAACTGAAAATGTATCAATTTCTTTTTTTTCTACATCTTACTTTGAACACAAATACGCAACTGACGAAACCCTAAAGTCAACATGATACGAGTTTGCGTTATAGACAATTATATATACAATGCCCATTAATTGTCAACGACACTTTGGTGGACGCCTGCACTTTTATTGGCATTCCACCCATGTACGCAATGGAAAACTCGGAGTATCATCAATATGCAAATGTAACTTTTCTGCAAAACAACGAGAGATTATTGAAACTGAAGCACTAGTATCCACCAACGCCTTACATGCAAGATAAGATGCAATTATTAACAAAAACAGATATAAAAGATATCTACACTAAAACTATCAATTGTATACAAATTTCCTAAATGTTCAGCCGCACTTTGCTGACATCCACGTTGAGGAGATCCCGACGAAGATCCACTACTATGTGCCCAAATACACTTGACGTGGCGTATCCTGCTGCACGATTGGTGCCCGTGGCACTTGATATTCCGACTGTTTAGAGTCGGGTCCAACTATCGGTGTAGAGTCACTCTGTGTTTCATAAGGAGAAAATTATGAAATGAAAAATGAAATGAAAAATTATGAAAATATACTGGCAATTCAATATTTTGTCGACCCACATCGTAACCGTGATTAAATATATCTTCTACTTGCATAATTGTTTTTCTCAACTCCTCTTTAGACAAATACAAATTACTAACCAGCATCCATTGAAAACTGGGTGTCAAAGACTTCAAGAAATGTCTAATAAACTGGACATCTGGAATCTTAGTTTTCGTCGCTAACTTATCTAAACTATAAAAATAATTCAAGAGCAATTCATTAGGCAATTGTCGCCTATAATAAAACTCTCGGACATAGTCCATTTGCGAGAGAAATTTCTCCTTAAGCTTTTGTGCAATTATACCGTACGTCGCGTATGAAGAAAAATACGTTTTGTACCGTTGCAGAGCTGGCCCCTCCAAATACAATGCTAACACGTATCTCTTTTGCCCATCTGACCAATTATTCAACATGCTGATCGCCTCAAACTGATTTATAAATTCGTCAACGTCATTCAACCCTGTAAACTTTTGCGCCGCCATACGATGCATATTCTTTCTTGCTCAACAATAAAACAACTAATATAAATCAAAATTACGACCTTATATATGTTTTCCTCTCTTTGGAAATTTTTCGTAAACTCATATAAAATGTTTCCACATTGGAATTTTCACGTAAGGCGACCTCTACCACTTATATTGCGCCTCCACCACTTATAGCAGGGAACGTAGCTTGGGCTTGCGTAGCGTGAGGTACTTTATAAATATAAACGACGATTACATCATAATTAAAACTTTATACGTGTATTCAGTTTCAAAGCTTTTTCCAGAACTCCTGTTGATGTCTGTCTGACATCAACACTCTATTATTATTACAATTCTAAATACAAAACCAAGCTGCCTGTACTACAGTACTATGATACATAAAATGAAATATGCTAGATTGTCATTGTATGGTACAGTGATGTTACAAAAGTAAATGCATTACTTTATCATTTATTGATACAGTAACGTAAAAGTAAATACAATAGATAAGCATTGACTGATGTAACGATACACAGAAATAAGTACAACTTAATTCAATTTCGATATTATATTAATCAATATTATAAATAGGTACAGGGTATCTAAAGGTGAAAGGTTCCACGGGTGTACTGTCGTAGTACTTCGGGTTGCAATGTGTCCATTCGTCTTTGACTAGTTTTGAAGAATCAATGCCTATTTCGTTCAGTGGTTTGATAGCCAATTCTTTGGAAACGTCATTGAGAACAGGATTTCTTGATAAGATCCATACGTATACTGCAAGTAAGTTTTAGCATAGTATGTTGATTAGCAGAAACACAAACATCACGATGTATAGCGATATGTATATCACAAAGTCGAAAATTTTTTGTCCGAAATAACTTTTGTTCAAATTTTCATTATACCGAAAACCGAATCATAACTAAACAGTTCTTCTTTCAGGATATGTTGAGTGTTTATCGCAAAGACACGATAAACATTTTCCTCTCCAAATTACTTTCGAGGTTATGAAAATTCGAGTAACGTTAAACTGGAAAATGTCATTTCGAACTACTGATTGGTGACCATAGCGATACAAATTGCAGTCCTAGGCTTTGTGGTTTTAGAGCTCTCATTGATAGGATTACTCGTCCATAACCGTGCGGTAGGGCTAGCACGACAGGGCGTGATTTGCGCAAGAGCGACATAAAGCGAGTGATGTAGCTTCAATCATAAGATACAGTATTATGTTCTGGGGTAATGCCAAACGAAGAACGGATGTGTTAATTGCACAAAAAAGGTGTATTCGGGCGATTTGTGGGTTGTACCGCTAGACTGCCTATGGACAACTGTATACCTCACTTTCAAAAATTAAGATTATTAACAGATCCGTCAATATACATATTTGAAAGGGTTCTTTTTGTTCGGAGAAATCCCACACTCTTCAGCAAGGTGGAAAGTACATGAAGACAATAAATTGAAACTGGTTGCCTGTAAGACTACCTATAATATTTCTTTCATGATAATATATGTGCGATAGCGCCAAAACTATACAATAAGGCCCCAAATTATGTACTTGAGACTAACGACAATGCCAATTTTAAAAAGCGATT